GCCGTTTGGAATATGCTTAGTAACTTAATTTCAAAAGTAATGATATATGCTTCATATCAATCGACTCCATTCTCCTGATCTTCTCTGTTCTATCTGCATACATATACGGATAATTGGAATGTTCCAAAGAGATATACAGCCAGGAGAAAAATTAATAGAATTTAGTACTTCAGGAATTTATACAATTTTACCAATTTAACACTAAGCTCCTAAAGCCTGCTGTACTTATCACTAAATGGAAGTTTTGTTTTATATTTCAACTTATTTTTATTTTTACTATTTACCAGAACGTGTTCTCGTGAACTTATAATGATAGCATCCTGACAAACATTGAAAAGATCAAGTTGCCAGTGTTTACAGGCGAGGTAATATTTTGTAACTACATTTCCCACTGCATTAGCTTCGATCTACAACACATCCGTTTGTGTTTTTTTTGTTTGTTTCAATCATCTATAAAAGCGGAATATTACAATTAATTTTTAAGAAATACAGTAATATGAATATTTAAAAAATGAAAACAACACTCTATAAAATTCATACGTCGAAAGCCCTTTTAGGATTTACCTTCATCAGGAACTCCCAAAGCCGAATTTTTGAGAGCCAAGGAAGTATTAGAACCGAAAAAGTGGAAGAGCTATATGACAAAAAAATGACCTAAAAATAATAGCTAAAATCATCTAATATATACTTTGCTTGAGGGAGTTGAAACCTTGGTTTCTTTATAATTTCTAAATTTATAAATAGACAATTTTAGAAAGGTTTGTTATAAATCATGCCAGTAAACGTGTACCTGCTATATATACTGAACAATATCTTTATGGTCATGCATATGTGGAATTAGAATTGACAACATTCAGGATGTTAACATCGATTAGCTAATAATCAGAGTGTAGATTATAGGTAATAAACGGAGTTTAAATTCTAAGCCAAAAATAGTTAACAGTAGAAATAATAAACAAGGTTTAGATTATAAGCAATCAACAGAGTTTGAATTTTAAATTTTCAACAGACTTTCTGTTGTTCCGTTGTTTTCCTCTTATAGTTGATGTGTTTCCCCCGGTTTTGGTTTGTGACCCGGATTTGTTTTCGCTTAATCGATTTTTGACCATTGAACAGCGGTATACTACTGTTGCCTTTATTTAAATCATAAGTAATTATCAAAAGAAGATTTAACCGCTAATATCATTGAGGAAGATTCATTAAATTAAGAAATTAGATGAAGATTATTTAGAAGGGGGTTAGAAAAGACGGATATGGATTCATACATTGAAACAACGGAAATAAATTGTGTTAAAAGGCTTACTAATGAAACTTGGACAAACTGGAAAATTATCATGATATTCCAACCTTCTATTTCAATGTGTTTAGGAGTAAAAACCTGCTATCTAAAATAAATCTGGTTTCTCATAAATCATTAGAAAATTTGAAAAATATGCCCAATTTTTCCTGAGAAATCTTGAAATTGAAAGCAAATATATTTGCTCGTAAAAAAGTAAAAATGCAACTAACAGAACATAAATGGACGAGGCTTTTGCCAAACAAATCCCCTGGTCTCATTAGTTATTAAAACACACGAAGGAACTTTAGCGTCATTGCTGTAGCGCTAAGGGGCATTGTTCACAACTATTTGTGCAATACATTATTTGAAGTTGGAAACGAATGAGCAAGTACTAGAGTGATAACCATAATTAAATAATGAAATAAGATTAGAAGGTGAGACTTCAACTGAAAAGAGTTTGGTAATTTTTTACTATTCAAGATTGACATCCAGCACATTAATCTTTTTCAGCCTATTTTATTTTATAAATGTATTGTTAAATCGTCATAAACACCACCAACAACAAAAAAATAACAAACAACATGAAATTTTTGTTCAATTCTTGAATTAAGAAAAAACATTCAGAAGAATATAACATCTGTGAAAGAGATTAGGCTTATTGTTCTTGACATATTTGAATAATTTTTTGAAAGTCTCCCGGAGTGAGAACATACATTTTTGTAATCAAAAATATATTCGGACATTCAGAATATGCATAGTCAGACTTTTTTCAGATAGACTTAGAATGTGTCAAGATAATTTCAGACTGCTAAAAATAAAAAAAAAGTGTTGCCACAAACACAGAGAGTATTGAGACAAACCCAGAGAGTATTGAGACAAACCCAGACAGTGTTAAGATTGTTGATAATGTGTTGAGACAAATTCAGACAGTACTAATATAAAAAAGAAGATGTGGTATGATTGCCAATAAGACAACTCTCGACAAGAGACCAAATGACAAAGAAATTAACAAATGTGGGTCACCGTACGGCCTTCAACAATGAACAAAGCCAATACCGCATAGTCAGCTGTAAAAGGCCTTAAAATGACAAATGTATAACAATTCAAACGAGAAATCTAACGGCTTATTTATGTACAAAATAATTAACGAAAAACAAACATGTAATACAGAAACAAACGACAATCACTGAATTACAGGCTCCTGACTTTGGCCAGGCACATACAAAATGTGGCGGGGTTAAACTAGTAGATGGCACAAAACCCTCCCCTAAGCTTGGACAGTGGCGCAACAGCACAAAACAAGAACACCCTATACAAAAACAATTAACGAAAAACAAATATGATAAAGAGCAACAAACAACAACCACTAAATTACAGGCTCCTGACTTGTGACAGGCACATATAGAATGTGGCGGGGTTTAACTAGTTAAACTAGCCCCAACCCTCCCTTAACCTGGGAAGTGGTGTAACAGAACAACATAAGAACAAACTATAAAAATCAGTTGAAAAAAACTTAACTCATCAGATGGATACAAATAGGAATACATCTAACAAAAACATAGAATGGACGTGGACGGGTACTTATACATCCCAACAACAAAAAGACACTAAGTACTCGCAGTTTCTGACAGCTAGTTCAAAGCCAATAACAACTAATAAAAAAAAATCATGCAATTAAGACTAAATTATCAATCAGTACACATCCAACTCCAATGGATTTACTGTAAAGACGTCATAAACAGTCAGAGAAGAATATGAGCTTTTGCAATTCCAAGGTACAGGTATTGACAAATTGTAGAGCCATGAATTTA